CTCTTGCCTCAGCTTCCCAAGTAGCTAGGATTACAGGCACCTACCACAACACCCAGCTATTTTTTTGTTGCAGTTGTCATTGTTGTCTAGCTGGCCCGGGCCAGATTCAAACCCACCAGTCTCGGTGTATATGGCTGGCGCCCTACTCACTGAGCTACAGGCACTGCCACCTTGTGATTTTTTGTTGTTGTTGTTGTTATATCCTTTTGTAGATTGTGTTTTCATACTTATCATATGCACAGATTAATTTTATATATTGATCTTATGTTCAATAAGCTTGTTATACCTTCATATTGATTCAAATGACTTATAGGATCTGGATGGAAAGATTCAATATTATACAGATGTTTGGGCCAGGTGCAGTTGCTCACACCTTTAATCCCAGCAATTTGGGAGACTGAGGTGGGAAAATCACTTGAGTTCAAGAGTTCAAGACCAGCCTGGGAAAAAGAGTAAGACCTTGTCTCTAACAAATATAAAATTAAATTAAAAATGAGTAAAGTGAAATTAACTTTCAAACAAATTTAAAAAAAAGATGTTTGTCTTTCGTAAATTAATCTGTACCTTTGGAACAATGTCTATTGAAATCCCAATAGTGTTTTCATGGAAATTGATAAGCTAATTCTAATTCCAAAATTTATGTGATTGAAAATAAGTTCAGGAATAACCAAGACATTTCTAAAATATAAATCATAGCAATAGCCTCCCTAGGGTATCACTGCAAGAATAGATGAACAGGGTAGTGGAAAAGAATGGAGTTCAGCTAGCTCTGTAGATCAGTCAGTGACATTGAAATTCAGGAGTGCTTACTAGAAGAAAGTGTAGGAAAAACACTTGAAGAAATCCGCCTGGGCGAAAATTTTATGAGGAGGACACCCCGGGCAATTGAAGCAACATCAAAAATACACTATTGGGACCTGATCAAACTAAAGAGTTTCTGCACATCCAAGAACACAGTAAGTAAAGCAAGCAGACAGCCCTCAGAATGGGAGAAGATATTTGCAGGTTATGTCTCTGACAAAGGTTTAATAACCAGATCCATAGAGAACT